AGAACTTCTGCCACATGTATGACCAAAGGTTTTAAACACATGTTGTATATCAAGTGTATTTAACATATACTCTGAAAAGTTCATTATGTATTTCTTTCTGACTATAAAAATGAAGCCGAATATGATATTGGGCCAATTTTTGAAAAACCTTTTTTTGAAAACCCTCAATGGTGCCAAAGTGGCATCCATTAGTTTATTTATATGCAGTGTCTGAACAAATGAAATCATGCAAAAACAACTGTGGGACCTAAATTGCAAGGTCGTGTCAACATTCTGCCGGACTATTTTGTTGAATTATATTGAGCATGTTGAGGGTTTTAATTGAAAGTACTAACGAAACTGGAACAACGGGAGGGGAAAAGCATGACCACACGGTCATGTGCCTTGACCTTATGCTATTACGCATGCGCAGGTACAGCGAGAAAATGAATTGTCTCGATCTCGCTTTCTCGCGATTTCGTTTTTTTCGTGGCCTGATTTGACAAGTAGAGATTGCGAGATTTTACATCATGTCCAAATGTCCCATTCTCGTGTCCACTTTGGACTAAAAGAGCTATTTGCAAAAACACACGAGAATGCGAGATCGCCAAATTAAGATTGGCCAAATCTCGCGATCTCGCATTCTCACACTTTTGGGGATATTTGTAGCTCGTTTCCAAACGTCGCGATCGCGAGAATGTGAGATCACGAGATTGTCCCTTACATTATTCTATAGGTTGGGTCAAAGAGTTGCTCAATTTCAAATGTAAATAAAAGCGCAACACATTTCCATAATTATGAGAAAATTCTGCTTAAAGTAGATGCAATTCCGACTATAATATCAGCATGTGTTTATTGATCACAATGAAATAGTGATGATACCAGGTGTTCGCAAAAGGATCTAAGATCTGCCTTTTTGACATATTTTGTATGTCGTAAAAAAGTCAGTTTCTCATTCACAAAAATACAATTGATACAGGTCCCTGTATCCCTCCTTGCTGATGCGGTCTTCTTCCTAGCTGATGCTGTGTCCCTCCTAGCTGATGCGGTCTTCCTCCTAGCTGATGCGGCGTCCCTCCTAGTGTCCTGGCTGATGCATTGTTCCTCCTAGTCCCCTAGCTGATGCGGTGTTCCTCCCAGCTGATGCATTGTTCCTCCTAGCCTCTTAGGTGATGCGTTGTTCCTCCCAGCTGATGCGGTGTCCCTTCTAGCTGATGCGGTGTCCCTCCCAGCTGATGCGGTGTTCATCCTAGCTGATGCGGTGTCCCTCCTAGCCTCTTAGGTGATGCGTTGGTCCTCCTAATCCCCTAGCTGATGCGGTGTTCCTCCTAGCTGATGCGGTGTCCCTCCTAGTCCCCTAGCTGATGCGGTCTTCCTCCTAGCTGATGCGGTGTCCCTCCCAGCTGATGCGGTCTTCCTCCTAGCTGATGCGGCGTCCCTCCTCGTCTCCTGGCTGATGCATTGTTCCCCCTAGCCTCTTAGGTGATGCGTTGTTCCTCCTAGTCCCCTAGCTGATGCGGTGTTCCCCCAAGCTGATGCGGTGTCCCTCCTAGCAGATGCGGTGTCCCTCCTAGCTGATGCGTTGTTCCTCCTAGCTGATGCGGTGTCCCTCCCAGCTGATGCGGTGTCCCTCCTAGTCTCCTGACTGATGCATTGTTCCTCCTAGCCTCTTAGGTGATGCGTTGGTCCTCCTAATCCCCTAGCTGATGCGGTGTTCCTCCAAGCTGATGCGGTGTCCCTTCTAGCTGATACGGTGTCCCTCCTAGCTGATGCGGTGTCCCCCCTAGTCTATTGTCTGATGCATTGTTCCCTCTAGGCTCTGGATGCTGCTGTCTCCCTCCTCGTCTCCTAGCTGATGCGTTGCTGCCCCTAGGCTTCGGCTGATGCATTGTCCCTCCATGCTGATGCAGTGTCCCTCCATGCTGATGCGTTGTTCCCCTTAGGCTCTGGCTGATGCATTGTCGCTCCTAGCCTCCTAGATGATAATCCTAGCCTCCCAGTTGACGCGGTGTTAATCCTAGCCTCCTAGCTGATGCGGTGTTAATCCTAGCCTCCCAGTTGACGCGGTGCTCCGCCTAGCCTCCTAGGTGATGCGGTATTAATCCCAGCTGATGCGGTGTTCCTCCTAGTCCCCTAGCTGATGCGGTGTTCCTCCTAGCTGATGCGGTGTTCCTCCTAGCTGATGCGGTGTCCCTCCCAGCTGATGCGGTGTTCCTCCCAGCTGATGCGGTGTTCCTCCTAGCTGATGCGGTGTTACTCCCAGCTGATGCGGTGTTCCTCCTAGCTGATGCGGTGTCCCTCCTAGTCACCTGGCTGATGCATTGTTCCTCCTAGCCTCTTAGGTGATGCGTTGTTCCTCCTAGCTGATGCGGTGTTCATCCTAGCTGATGCGGTGTCCCTCCTAGTCTCCTGACTGATGCATTGTTCCTCCTAGCCTCTTAGGTGATGCGTTGGTCCTCCTAATCCCCTAGCTGATGCGGTGTTCCTCCCAGCTGATGCGGTGTCCCCCCTAGTCTATTGTCTGATGCATTGTTCCCTCTAGGCTCTGGATGATGCTGTCTCCCTCCCAGCTGATATATACACACATTATATATATATAAGGTATATTTCAAGTTAAATTTTTGGCTACATTTCATTTCTATGTGTTACTTACATGTACTTCAGATTTTTTATTTAAGAGGCAAGCCAAATTTTTTTCTTAATAAGACAGGTCAAGCACAGCAACAGGATGTGTTCTCCGTATTTCTCCGTAAATAGGTCATATTGTTGCATCACATTAAGATAAAACCTATAAATACATTTAACTAGCAGTGAAAAGAAGGAACTGTTTTGTGAAATGCAACAGGGGAACTTATGTGAAAAGGATCTCATGTTGAGTGCACTCATAGCCCGGACATGGTCTATTCCAGCAGTTTCATTGCATCACATGATACAAGCACCTGTACAAGCTCCGGGATCAATTCACTACATGTGGCCTATTTAGCTGAAGCAGTTCGTTGTGCAATGTTGCTCCCCTTAGTCGTGCCAGGATCCAATGATCGGAGATTCCAATATATGTTCATGAGATCTGTTTATGATTCAACATATGATTATGTATCGTTTAAAATGTCAAAGCCAGAGAATAATCAGTTTCGAACTATATCTTCCGTAACAGATTCCATGGAGCGAAAAATGCACACAAGTGATGACAATTATCAATCAGTCAATCAATCAATTTGGTTCAGTCCTTTTAGGCCTCAGGCCTTTGTGTACAATCGTTATGGTACGGGCGGAATTACAGTACCATACATTTCTGATGAAAATTATATGAATGGATCACTGACAATAAGTGCGGTGCCAGAAGCACCCGCTACACTCACAATTGTGTTTTGTTGTTTAATGCCACACAGTTAGGTGACACGACCATTCGTAGAGTGAGTGAGGGAGTTTGCTTCTCCAATAAATTGTTCATTTGAATTAGCGTGAATCGTCGTCAACTACTACACACTACACACAACCATATTACCACATGCCACGTGTCTCATCATCTAGTATACACAATCATATTACCACATTAAAGGGCTAAAAGAAGGTCTGGTCGGCTCGGAAGCAGTATACTGTGTCTGAGTGCGGTATTCATGTTAAACTGCGGCATGGTATCCCGGTGGGCTATAAATCGGCATCAGTCCGACTAGTACAAGCAGCCACACACACACACACACACACACACACACACACACACACACACACACACACACACACACACACACACACACACACACACACACACACACACACACACACACACACACACACACACACACACACACACACACACACACACACACACACACACACACACACACACGTGTCTCATGTGTGCACACTACCATATTACCACATGTCACGTGTCTCGTCATCTAGTATACACTACACACAACGATATTACCACATGTCACGTGTCTCGTCAGCAAAGAGGGTTTGGGTGATCCTGGCACAGTCACGCTGGTAAGGCTCATCATCAGCTCAGGGCCCTTGCCCCCTCTATACGCAGCCCAGACAGCGAATGGGACTTCTTCTCCCAGGAAGCGCTGTCTAGTCGAACCCAACCAGAACGTTTCAGAGAATGTGAAGACTCCCCAATACTGCAACCTTCTTACCCAGGTTGTCAGAAGGGCTGTATTCCTGGCAGCAAACCCGGGTACTCCCCCAATGTCAGTCAACAGGTGGGGAGGCACCAAACCTAAGGCAACGAGAACAATGGGGAGTCGGACACCATGGCACTTGGGATGCTTTTTGATATTTCGTAAACGAGGTCCGCATATTTGCCATGTTTTCCCTTCATCTTGTCAATCACCGTAGTGTCAAAGGGGACAGAGAATTCAATGATATAAATGTTTTCATTGGATTTATAAAAAAATCATAATCATCATCATCGTCGTCGTTGTTGTTATTACTATTAAATCAAAAATAACCAGAGATGGATATTATGATACATTCTTTATTTAATATTGTCTATTTGAATATAGATAGATTTGTTCATCAGCCCAAATGAATATACATTCTATGTATTTTATATTTTATATAAGTTCGTTTATAAATCATTTAATTCATGTTGCTAGTGACATGGTTGCTTGGTTGCGCGGTGAAAGGCTTACCTCTGTTTCAGCACAGACCTATCTCTCAAAACATGTCAGCAACACATTCGCATGCAGACATGAAACCCCGCCCACGTCCTCAACTGTGCGAGCACCAACATCAACCCCACCCAACCCTACCACACCCACTCATCAATCTCATCCAGTGAGTACCGACACGCTTTCCTCTTTAATAAGTATCATTCGAAATTGAATCTTAAACATTCTAGTATTGAAATGAATAAAATAAACACATTTTTGAAACCAACAGTTAAATTACATATTAAAATATTGTATTCACTGATAAAGTCATTGAAGCAGAACCAGGGCACTCACGTGATTTTATGAATATGCATCAGATGATGTAGACATTACGTGCTGCTCAGCCAATCGGAGAGTAAAACGCTCAGATAAATACGTGTCTGTATCTTTAGGGGGTATATAACGGGTGTTGAATACTGTTCTGAGTGATGTTTCCTGAAAGTAGAAGAAAGATCACACGGAGGTAAGGTATGCTCAATATATAGCTCTATAGTATTTTCCAGACTTTACTTGTTATGATGTGATAATGTTTGGTCAAATCGGCCTTTTGGTTTTTGTTTTTAACATCACAAGTTATACTTAGGTACTATTACAAGAATCATATAAAAGAAGGGCTATTTTCTATACATTAGGGTGAGACGGAAGAGAGCAAACATTACTGTAACGTACTGAAAAGAAAAAGAGCATTATATGCAAGACATAACGGTAAACATGTTAGAAGTAGAAAAGAGCAGTATCCTGTAATATATGCTCGACAAGAAATGCATCCTGTATATCCGAAATAAACTTATATATAAATATTCCAATTTAACTTATCCTACAAATTACGGTAAACCAGCGTAAAGCGAGAAAGAACTGTATCTTGTGTGTTTTAACTTTTCCTATACATTACGGCAAACCAGTGAGAAGCGAGTAAGAACTGTATCATGTATGTCTTAACTTATCCTATTCATTACGATAAACCAGTGAGAAGCGAGAAAGAACTGTATCCTGTATGTCTTAACTTATCCTATTCCTTACGATAAACCAGTGAGAAGCGAGAAAGAACTGTATCTTGTGTGTTTTAACTTTTCCTATACATTACGGCAAAACAGTGAGAAGCGAGAAAGAACTGTATCCTGTTAGTGTATGTCTTAACTTATCCTATACATTACCGTTAACCAGTGAGAAGCGAGGGAGAATTGTATCCTGTATATTATAACTTATCCTATACAATACGGTAAACCAGTGAGAAGCTAACAGAAGTGCGAATAATACAAAACCCGCTGTCTTTAGTAGCATAAGTTTCGAGTTTGTTAACTATACTGAACAAATATAGCTAGGGATCATGCATATTTTGGGGGATTTTTTTTGTAGACTGAGAACACAATTTCATAAAAAAATATTCCCCCAAATATTCATGATCCCTAACTGTTTTGTTCAGTATACTTTAAATATTTGCCCAGAGTCATGGATCCAAGGCTGCTCCTAATTCTCCTCGCAAACTCTCTGTGTCAAAGGGAGGGAACATTTGCAGTCCACCTCACTGGTCAACAGCAGGTTGCAGCTGAAATACAGAAAGATGAGGAGTACTTGGAAGCAGGTCAGTACCAACAATATGTCACTTGTCTGCTTCCACGATGTTGAAGTGTAATAGGGTCTAGACATGACGAACCAGGGCGGAAGAAACACTCACAAAATGTAGCTTTTGTAACAGCATGAACATATTTAGAAGCGGACGTGGATGTGGATGTGGATATTGATGCGGACAAGGATGTGGATGTGGACGTGGATGTGGATGTGGACGTGGATGTGGATGTGGATGTGGATGTGGATGTGGACGTGGACGTGGTTGTGGACGTGGACGTGGACGATGACGTGGACGTGGACGTGGACGTGGACGTGATTGTGGACTTGGACGTGGACGTAGTTGTGGACGTGGACGTGGACGTGGACGTAGACGTAGACGTGGACGTGGACGTGGACGTGGACGTGGATGTGGATGTGGATGTGGATGTGGTTGTGGATGTGGTCGTGGATGTGGATGTGGTAGTGGACGTAGACGTGGATGTGGACGTGTACGTGGATGTGGATGTGGATGTGGATGTGGGTGTGGACGTGGACGTGGACGTGGACTTGGACGTTGACGTGGATGTGGATGTGGATGTGGTTGTGGATGTGGACGTGGATGTGGACGTGGATGTGGACGTGGATGTGGATGTGGTAATGGACGTAGACGTGGATGTGGACGTGTACGTGGATGTGGATGTGGATGTGGACGTGGACGTGGACGTGGTTGTGGACGTGGACGTTGACGTGGATGTGGATGTGGACGTGGATGTGGTAGTGGACGTGGACGTGGTCGTGGACGTGGACGTGGACGTGGACGTGGACGTGATTGTGGAAGTGGATGTGGATGTGGATGCACTCCTCACCTTTACCACTTTCGCTTTGCACAAACATATTTCCGTTACTTCTGCTGTCAAACTTTAAAGAGAAAAATCAATAAAAAAATCAGAAATGTTTTATCACTAATCACGCATGACACTAACAAATGCAGTTAAAGACATGACACAAACATATGCAGTTAGATTAAATAGATTAAAAGGGCAGAAAAGTCCATCACCTTACATTTCTCTGCTTCTAACTATCACGGGCAGTCCTCCTGTTTGTAACCTGTGTACTTCATGCATTTATGTTCACGTACTCATTGAGTGTACACGCCATAACGCCCATTGCTCAGGGTAATAGCTGCATCCACACAATGTATTATATATCTACAGACAAAAACATTATATACATTAAAATGATTTATCTAATGCATTATTTTTTTTATCTATGAGTAGTGTAATATGACATATGTACATACCTATTTTTTTGAAGACATTGTAATTATTTTTCGTATATGTGTCAGATGAAAAATACCGTACGCATTACATATCACGAGAAAGCGAGTTTTGTCTGACTTTCGCTTCATAATACTTGTTTATTAATTAAATCGAATGCCTTAGAAAAATCCACTAAAATCATAATTAAAAGAACCCTCTGGGATGTGTCAAACTTCATCAGGCTGAATCTGGCCAATGCGACCCTAGAGTACTTAATAAAGCAAATTCCAGAAGATAGGTATACATAACATGCCATAAAGCAAATCTTGGAAGAATGGAAAATCTAATATGTCACATGCAAGCTAAATCTGATGCATGCGTGCATGGCATTCAACCTCTAGGAACTGAATTTCTGTGATACTGCAGGTGTTGACCGACTCGGAGGGACGTCGACCTCGGAACAACACGCGTCCTTCACGTCAACAAAGCCGAAGTCAGTCACACTCGGTCAACTGTACAGGGCGAAACTATTTTCAGGAACACCAACTGTTGATGAGTAAGTTTTGTTCAAATTTTATTCCTTGAAGAAAACACATTTGGAGGATGATGAGGACAAGTTATTCAAATTCTACAAACAGACAACTCTTTTTGCTGGTTTCTGATGCCCCTTTAAAAGTCGACAAATAGATTATCCTCATGCAGGTTCTTTTTAATGCGAAATTATGATCATGAATTTTCGATATACGTCAGTAGCGGCTGTCCCAAATCTGTCGCGTGTAATGCCAACGACATGTTCCGGTCAGCGAATGGCAGCTGTAACAACCTTGAAAACCCTGACTGGGGACAAAGCTTCATCGCCTTGAGAAGGTTCCTTCCACCACAGTATGCCGATGGTGAGTTTGTATGTTTGACTCTGTGTGTGTGTGTGTGTGTGTGTGTGTGTGTGTGTGTGTGTGTGTGTGTGTGTGTGTGCGTGTGTGTGTGTGTGTGTGTGTGTGTGTGTGCGTGCGTGCGTATTCCTTTGCTTAAGCTGCCTGTCTACTCCAGTCGTGTCAAGCCCTTCTCTTAAAAGGCTTCAGTTTTCTGTATTTGTAGAACGTGCACATGCAACTTCTGACCCGATATCAAGTTATGTGCAATTGATATGTTTATGATACTCCTTTATCGACCTTTATCCCAGTGTTTCTGTCACAGATAATCAATTGTTTGCCTAGTCATGCATAAACATTTGTATCCAGTCAATATTATTACCGCCGATAACCTGTATATGCAGCATTGGAGTCCTCGCCGTTGAAGTTGGCCATGCATCTGTCTGCAGGTATATCTTTACCACGAACAACCGGAAGTGACGGAACCCCACTTGTAAGTCCTCGTCTGGTGAGCACCACTCTGCATACTGCTGACGTCGACGCCACGTCACAGAGTGACGTCACACACATGGTCATGCAGTGGGCTCAGTTTCTGGATCATGATTTCGCTAGCACTGCAGTGGAACGAGGTCAGTTGAAGTTATAAATTATTATGTAGAGCTCAAATATGAAGTCTGGAATAGGTTTACTGTGTGTACACATATCATTACGTTAACTGAAATATATGTGACATCTATGAAATGCATGACTGTAAAAATGAAAACAATAACAAACAAATCGGTCTCAGGTCCAGATGGAGCCACCATCATCTGCTGTGAAGATGACGTCCCTGAAGGAATCCCTCTTAGCAGCCTCAACCTCACTGACAGGTAGACAGCAATAATCTGGAACTTCTATTTTTTATGTCAAATGATTATGCTCCTGTTTAGAAGTTAATGGTTGATGTTTGTATACAAACGATGAATACTAGTATATCACTAAGATGCTGAGATGTAATACAATCGTTTTCATAGATGTGCAGTTATGAAATATATGTCAGTCTCTACCATGAAGTTATTAAAGATATTCACAATTATTGTTATCCTCTTTTTCTTTCAGACGCCAATGTTTTCCGATTCCAGTTCCAACAGGAGATCGCAGGTTCAACCGCACCTGCCTCAACTTTGTCCGCTCAGTACAGATTGCCAACGCAAGCTGTAACTTAGGTGAGTACAACTCCACATTGACATGGCAAAAGAAATTGATGCGGTACGAGGCTTTAGGGGTAAAATGTGAGAGTAGGGTGGTTGGGATGAAGTGGTGTAGAGTGAAGATCGAGGAGCAAAGGAGTGCGGGTTTAGGTGGTGGGAAAGTGTTGAAAGTTGAGGTGGTGGAAGCGAAGGAAGCGAGATAAGGTGGAAAATTCGAATGGCTCGAGTTGAGGTAGACGAAGGAGCGTGTAAGTTGAGGTGGTGAAAGTGAAGGGTTTGAGTTGAGGTGATGGCAGCGAAGGGTTCCAGTTGAGGTGGTGGAAGAGAAGGGTGTGAGTTGAGGTGGTGGAAGCGAAGGGTTCCAGTTGAGGTGGAGGAAGCGAAGGGTGCGAGTTGAGGTCGAGGAAGCGAAGGGTTCCAGTTGAGGTGGTGGAGGGTGCGAGTTCAGGTTGAGCAGTCGAGTTGAGATTGAGGGAACGAAGAGTTCGAGTTGAGGTGAAGTGTGCAAGTTGAGGTGGAGGAGGCGAAGGGTGCGAGTTGAGGTGGTGAAGGTGAAGGGAGCGAGGTGAGGTGGAGATGGTGAAGGGTGCGAAATGAATTGGAGGAAGCGAAGGCTGCGAGTTGAGCTGGAGGAGTCGAATGGTGCTAGCTGAAGTGAAGGACGTGAAAGGTGCGGGTTGATTTGAAGGAGCAAAGGGATGCGAGCGTAGTGTAAAAGGAGGTTGAAGGGGATATTTTTGAGGGGGTAGCTTTAAAAGCTGTCATGGGAGTCATTATAGGGGAAAAATAGAGAGCAAAGGTATGGGTGGTGGTAGTTGTTCGGAGGACCGAGGGGTGATGGCAGTTGATAGGGTTTTGATGTGGTAAGGACAAAACTGAAGGTGGTGGAATTGGAGGAGGTGTTCGAAGCAATATAGGTGATGACAACATTTTTAACAATGATGGGTCTGGAGTGGTGTAAATAAAAGAGGTATGGGTTATGAGAGAGGTCGAATAATTGAAATGGAAGGTTTCAAAGCCTAGTCACGTGTTTGAGGTGCTGGATTTCACAAAGGTTGAGTTTGGGTTAGGTTGGCGGTGTGATTACAATGACCGTGGTAGTAAGTACCTGACCAGTTCACAAATACTAATGACATTTATTGTCTTGATAAAACATCATTAAATATTATACATATTCATGTAGCCCCAGGAGAGCAGCTGAACCAGCTGACAGCCTATGTGGATGCATCCCAGGTGTATGGCTCCACACAGGAGGAACAGGACGAACTCAGGGCTCACACGGGAGGTATGGCACACATACATACATGAAGTGCTACACAAATTCTTCCATTGTACTATTATTGGAAATAAAAGGGACAAAACCATTTTCATGATAATAGGAAATCTCTAGTATATGTCGATAGTGCTTATGAATTGCTATGAATCGCTATCAAATAGAGTTGATACCTAGTGGCACCCATAACAAACAAATGCAAAGGCAAGTCATTTGTTAACCTGAATAACAAGAGAACATATGGTACAAGTGTAATTCGGCAATCGCTGGTGCATCTAAACTGGAAATGACCACAACATAAATATTTTGGAAAACTGTAACCTTGATTAAGCAACCATATTACGCTCTTTCTAATCATTGTAGAAAGAGAATGTCAATTGAACCCCCAAAAGATGTGAAATGTAGAAATTATAGACTAACGAGACAGTTTGCTTTCAATAGTTTAAAGCATCTAACTTATGAGCTAATTAGTGTTTGAAAAAGTACATGGGCTCCGTCAAAGGCTCCCGATAGTCAAACAAGGGTTCTGATGTTTGCTACTGTTGGCTTATCATCAGTGACAATTAAAACTGAAGCGTTCATCATTTACCAGTTTGCAAATACTAATATGCACATGTTTTTTCTACTTGTACCGTATTTCAGGATTGCTAAGAACATCCTTTATGAAGCCAGAACTGTTGCCTAGAAACCCTGTTTTGGATTGCATCACATTCACTGAACCCAACTTTTGTTTCAGGGCAGGTATGTAATTGTTTATTCATGCAGGGCTTTTGGGTAGAAGTGTAGTGGAATCTGGTTACACTGAAGTCAGTAGACACTGACGTGTCTAGCTGAGACAGCAGTATCATTTAGAAACTTGGTCAGGTGATCAATGTGTATTCAATGTATACAAAGTTCTGCATCGGGTCCATCTAAATTACTCAGCTTCCATCAGACGCATTATTGATTGATCTACAGAAGTGATTCATATGTGTTCTGTTCACCAAGATATCTTCATTAGCGAGTAAAACTGTATACTGCCATGATAAAGTGAGTATAACATACTATTACTATTATAATTATATATTACCTTCACTGAGAACGCCAGAAGCGTAACTCATGCCATTTATTATTTATGTACAGGTGACGAGAGAGTGGACGAGCACATGTCTCTGACAAGTATGCACACCATCTGGCTGCGGGAACACAACAGAGTGGCCAGGAGGCTTGCACATATCAACCCACACTGGGATGATGAGCGTCTGTTCCAGGAAACCAGGAGGATTCTGGGAGCCATGATACAGCACATCTCCTACGCCGACTTCCTTCCCCTCGTCCTCTCAACCAAGTTTCTCATCAAGTTTGGGCTCCGACCATCGACTGGTCCTGTTAATATATACAATGTCAGTATTGATGCCAGTGTTCGCAATGCCTTTGCTACAGCTGCCTACCGCTTCGGCCACTCTATGATAAGATCCTTCTTTAGTCGTCCAAACAGGAGGTTTAGGGGTGGAGAAGATCTCCGACTTAGAGACTCATTTGGAAACACATCCATTATTCTTTCATCCGCTGGTGATGCTGTAAACGAACTAACAAGAGGGCTGCTGGTTGATAGGGCCAATTCTGTGGACAGACACATCACCCCTGAAGTTACAGACTTCCTCTTCCCAGATGCTGAAGGTAACAGTCTCGATCTGATGTCTTTAAACATTCAACGTGGCCGCGACCATGGCCTACCAGGGTACAATGCTTGGCGGAGGTGGTGTGGACTCCCAGAAGCTGAAAACTTCTCAACCAGCCCTGGAGGTCTTGTGGATCATCCGAACGATGCTGCGGCTTCTCTACAAGTGTTGTACAGGTACGATGGTGTTCGGACACAGACTAGATATTGCTAAGTGTGAGAGACATCGAAGGGTACGGGAGAGGTGAAAGATTAGTGTCAGATATAAGGACGGGAATGGTGTCCTTACACAGCTGAAGAAATTAAAGGTGTTTTAAGTTTATGTCTGTATATATAATTGATTGTTTTGCAGATCTCCTGATGACATTGATCTGTTCTCTGGAGGCGTGTCAGAACGTCCAGTTGATGGGGGACTATTAGGGAACACTTTCTCTTGTATTGTCGCCCGTCAATTCGAGCTCTTGAAGATCGGTGACAGATTCTGGTATGAGACGGATGATGCGGATGTCGGGTTTACCCAAAGTATGTATTTTTATATTCTCAACACACAAATATCTGCCATGACGTTCTGATACTAAAGCTGTGTTGGTTTAAGTGTAGTTCACTGAAGTGCTTTATGCATTTACACTCTTCTATTAGAACAGCTCGCTGAAATCCGTCAAACGTCTCTCTCTCGCGTGGTCTGCGACAACACCGACACCAACAGGATCCAGCCTGACGCCTTCAGGAACGCTGGACCAGGGTGAGTAAAGTATGCCCAGCTTCTAAATATTTCACGCTTTACCTGAACAAAGTGTCCGGACATACAAACTTCCCCTGACCAAAGGGGGCACGGGTGGCCCGGTCGTCTAAGGCGCCACGATTCGCTGTGCAGAGTTGCGTCCCTTGGGCACGCCAGAAACCTATGATTGTGGGTTCGAATCCCGGTTCGCCCCGATTATGTTTCTAGGTTTGTGGTTTTCACTAAAGTGGTAAACGTCTGAGACCTGCATCACTTCGGGCTTTCCTCCCACATTAAGCTGACACGCCGTGATATAACTTGAATAATGTTAAACGCGGCGTTAAACCTAACTCACTCACTCACTCACTCCCCTGACCAAAATGCATTCTGCGTGAAACAGAGCAATAGGGTAGCCTGGTGGTTAACCCAAAAGCCCGGGTTTGATTCACCACATGGGTACAATGTGTGAAGCCCATTTCTGGTGTCCCCTGCTGTGATATTGCTTGATTTTGCTGAAGGCGTAATGAATATACTTACTCCCTCACTGTGTGTTACAGGAACCGGATCAGATTTTGCAATCGGCTGCCAAAAGTGGATCTGTGGGAGTGGCAAGACTCAGAGGGCATGTGTGGGCCGGGGTGTGCGTTTCGGCAGTGGGGATCCTGGGGTCCTTGTGTGATGGGGTGTCGCTTCAGAAGTCGGGTGCGCAACTGTAGGACGTGCAGCCATGGGAGCCTCTTCCAGTCACGAAGGTGTGGCTTGCATGTCAGGAATAGATACACACGTAGTTGTAACCGCCTGTATTGGTACCTGAGGCTCTGGTATGAAACATGATCTCTTATCAATCTAATCATGTCTCGCAGCGAAATAAAGAAACTATTTCATAACTCCAGTTGTTGCATTATTCTTTGCACGAACAATGAGAATATATATGTTGAAGGCCTCTTATAAAAATAATAATTATGTAAGCACTGCATACTTTTTTTTATCAAAGAACATTGGCCAAAAAGAAGACTGACCATTTACAACTCCTCTAATAACATATTAACCATTTTATGTAATCATCACCACTTTAATTGTTAACTCGGGAAGAAGTCTGCCCAAACCACCCATCAGTATTATCAACTTTTGGCTTTAATAGGTTCCATTCCTCTCTTGTACTGGATTCCAAAGCTTCATATAAAGACATTCAAAGATTGCAGTGTACAGAAAATGTATCACCAAATATCTGTCTCAATGATTAACGATAATCTAACGATACAATGAGTGAGTGAGTGAGTTGGGTTTAACGTCGCTTTTAACAGTATTCCAGTTATATCGCGGCGTGTCAGCTTAATGTGGGAGGAAAGCCCGAACTGATGCAGATCTCAGACGTTTACCACTTCGGTGAAACCCACGAGCACGGGTATGGTGCTGACAAACCTAGAAACATAATCGGGGCGAACCGGGATTCGAACCCACAATCATAGGTTTTTGGCGTGCCCAAGGGACGCAACTCTGCACAGCGAATCGCGGCGCCTTAGATGATTGGGCCACCCGTGCCCCCGATACAATGAAGAAGGGCATTCTTAATATTCAAAGAAAGTATTTGAGACAAGTGGAATTAATACCATGTTGGTTCTCAAAAGCTCAAAGGATTTGCGTGATGCTGCGCGCCAGTCAGGGTAACAACAGGTGCCATATTGTAACGTCTTTTGGTATGACGCGACTGGGGGTCGAACTCATATCTTCTGCTCTCCGGGCAGACGCTCTACCCCTAGACCACGGAGGCGGACAGCTGCCAATTAAACAAATGCTTTGTGAGGGTAGATAGAAACACACCCATCTTACCTGTATGGCACTGTTATTCTAACATATAAAAGTGATAATATCCACCAACAAATACCACCTTGTTAACTGGATATAGTGAAATCCCGTTAGTGTTGCCCCGGCTATACCCGACACAGACATCCACGCACACACCCAATTTCAATAAAGAAGGTAGCGACTGACAGCGGCTTCACTCTAAAGTGTGACAATACTTCACACTTGCAATCTAACTGTAACATGTTAACCATATACTAGTATACACCTGGAAAAATGTTAAGCACCCCCTGTAAAAGTTAATCACCGTCGCACGAGCTCTGCCTGCTTGCCACACAATATACTGCATGTGTTCTGCCTGCTTGCCACACAATATACTGCGTGGGCTCTGCCTGCTTGCCACACAATATACTGTATGTGCTCTGCCTGCTTGCCACACAATATACTACATGTGCTCTGCCTGGTAGATACACAATATACTGCATGTGCTCTGCCTGTTAGCTGCACAATAAACTGCATATGCTCTGCCTGGTAGATACACAATATACTGCATGTGCTCTGCCTGTTAGCTGCACAATAAACTGCATATGCTCTGCCTGGTAGATACACAATATACTGCATGTGCTCTGCCTGTTAGCTGCACAATAAACTGCATATGCTCTGCCTGGTAGATACACAATATACTGCATGTGCTCTGCCTGTTAGCTGCACAATAAACTGCATATGCTCTGCCTGGTAGATACACAATATACTGCATGTGCTCTGCCTGTTAGCTGCACAATAAACTGCATATGCTCTGCCTGGTAGATACACAATAAACTGTATGTGCTCTGCCCCCTTGCCACACAATATACTGCATGTGCTGTGCCTGGTAGATACACAGTATACTGTATGTGCTGTGCCTGTTAGCTTCACAATATACTGCATGTGCTCTGCCTGCTTGCCACACAATATACTGCATGTGCTCTGCCTGCTTGCCACACAATATACTGCATGTGCTCTGCCTGCTTGCCACACAATATACTGCATATGCTCTGCCTGCTTGCCACACAAGATACTGCATGTGCTCTGCCTGCTAGCCACACAATATACTGCATGTGCCCTGCCTGGTAGATACACAATATACTGCATGTGTTCTTCCTAGTAGATACACAATATACTGCATGTGCTCTGCCTGCTTGCCACACAATATACTGCATGTACTCTGCCTGCTAGCCACACAATATACTGCATGTACTCTGCCTGCTTGCCACACAATATACTGCATGTGCTCTGCCTGGTAGATACACAATATACTGCATGTGCTCTGCCTGCTTGCCACACAATATACTGCATATGCTCTGCCTGCTTGCCACACAATATACTGCATGTGCTCTGCCTGGTAGATACACAATATACTGCATGTGCACTGCCTGCTAGCCACACAATATACTACATGTGCTCTGCCTGCTAGCCACACAATATACTGCATGTGCTCTGCCTGCTTGCCACACAATATGCTGCATGTGCTCTGCCTGGTAGATACACAATATACTGCATGTGCTCTGCCTGGTAGATACACAATATACTGCGTGGGCTCTGCCTGGTAGATACACAATATACTGCATGTGCTCTGCCTGGTAGATACACAATATACTGCATGTGCACTGCCTGCTAGCCACACAATATACTACATGTGCTCTGCCTGGTAGATACACAATATACTTATTGTGCCCTGCATGAAATGAATTTTAATCCTTTTAAAATCATGAATAGTATCTTTTATATAGTTCGGAAATGAGAGGAGTACATACAGATGCATAGCTCTTTGCAAACAATCCATCTTTTCCTAGCTGTAACCAAGAAACTATCTATTTACTGAGCGCCATCGAACAGTCTATTCATTATCACACAAAACATTTGACGTTTGCGTATTTTCCACAATACATGCTATTCATTTTTTTTCACCACTGCCAACAAGCTTTTTATTTTTTTCACCACTGCCAACAAACTATTCATTTTGGGCATATTACTGACCAAACTATTCGTTTGTTTGACTAAAAAGGATTTGATTAATCTAGAAGAGAATCTGATCTGTCCTGTAAGAAAACACTTTAAAAGGGCTGGGTGTTAGACGGGCAAAAGCAATGTTAAACAACTACACTACGATAACCATTCAACAACTATTCTTTTAACATGAAAGCTTGTAGCTGGTAGAATGTAACACTGTTTGCAACAGATGCATTGTGTGGTACACGTCGAACAGCTTTCATGTCAGGCTTTTGTTCTGCCCATCCCTCTTGAAACAGTACACAGTCAGCAAGTTGGGGGAACATTGACAAACACATTCATCATATAAAGGTTGTATATGCTATATCAGGCTATAACGACAGGCGAGAGCAATACCGTGACACTCGAGTGCAACACGTGGTAGTTATGGCCTCCAGTTTTTATCGGTTTATTTGTTTGTTTGTTGCCATTGTTCCGCTGAATCCGATTTGCAGGTGCCCGTGAAGTGTCCAAACTGATTGGGCATGCTAGTGCCGAGAGAGCGTCAAAGCAAATAGTGCAATGAAAAGACTTAATTACCGTAACTGATCATAAAGGCTCTGAGAAACTTGGACATGAGGAGACCAAAAAGATTGCTTCAACTGACAGGAAATATACCCACATATATCCTGAACAAAATAAAATCTTAAAAGACATATTACTCAACAGCAACTCTTTGGCTCTTGAATTGCCAGTAAATTTAGAACACCAAAGATACTGCAGAAACATAACGTTGTTATTCATCTCTGCAAGTCTATAATCATGGTATTCAGAAGACATCTAGCGCTGAACAATAATTAAAGAGACCATACATTCTTCTACAGTAAACTACGGTTATAACGAACACGCTTATAACAAACTAACCGATATAACGAACTTACTTGTTAGCCCTGGCCATGTGTTGCATATATGCTGCATATATGCTTATAACGAACTACGGTTATTACGAACTAAAATGGGTGGGTGTATAAACTATTCTGACATTGAGTTAATTCTGTCAAGTATTTCTTGTAAACGAAGCCAGTTTGTTATTACAAATTAGCTTAGCTCTGTCACCTCTATTCTCACAGCAACTTCATCCTATTAAGTATTTCAGATATAAAGCGAGGTTGTTGATCAGTGGATATAAAAGAAAGAAAGTCAAATCATATAAAAACGAAAATAAACATCTTATGAATATAAATACGGGAATCTTAGCAATACTACAAATCCCAATGGAAATGTGTACGTTACTTGCACATGAGTCCCAAAGAAGGTCGGCTCACCGAAACTGCTTGGGCAGAAGGTGGCCACTAAAACACAACAACTATGTTGATATCACAACAGCAAACAGCCAGGTGCACGTTACGTTCATCGAGACACTCAGAGGTTTGTTCTTTGAAATATTCGTTATATGAAAACTTCAAATTGAAATGTAAGAAAAGTTGGGACGAGAGTGAGTGAGTGAGTGAGTTGGGTTTAACACCGCTTTTAACAGTATTCCAGTTATATCGCGGCGTGTCAGCTTAATGTGGGAGGAAAGCCCGAACTGATGCAGATCTCAGACGTTTACCACTTCGGTGAAACCCACGGGCACGGGTATGGTGCTGACAAACCTAGAAACATAATCGGGGCGAACCGGGATTCGAACCCACAATCATAGGTTTTTGGCGTGCCCAAGGGACGCAACTCTGCACAGCGAATCGCGGCGCCTCAGACGACTGGGCCACCCGTGCCCCCAGTCGAGACGAGAAGAAATATTGGAACTGCGTGGTTGCAGGTCCCATCCAAATAGACACCATACTCCAGTCTCTGAAAAACATAATTTTTGTCACTTATGCTTCAGTTGTCGGCATGACCTCCACATGTTTACAATATAACTTTTTTAAAACTTTGTTCGGGCTTTGATTGTTGTAACCCTGATCAAACTACTTTTGCGAAAGAGTCATGTGACGCTCTTTGAAATCTTGGTAGATTTCAATTGTACCTCGAAAGTTGTGAAATGTAGACACCAATGGCTGGAGCAGCTGGGATATTGCTCGACATAAAGGGAAAGTTGACTATTGGAAAGTTAAAGCCATCCCTCTAGTTATACCGTCTTGTGGGGAGTATGTTTTGTCACTCTGAAACTTTATGCACATACCTAAAAACAGATGAGGCGACCTCACTGGTGTCTTTTATTTCTAGTTCAGGTGAAAGGGTAAATCAGTGGAAGGGAATTGGCTATTTGACCATTATTGAACGATATCAGATCATCGAGGTACCCCCACCCCCACCCACACACACACCACCACCACCAAAAAAAAAATATTAAAAAAATATTAAAAAAATAAAAAAAATAAAAATAAAATAAAATAAATAAAAATAAATATATTCCAAAATCACTACAGTCTAAAAAACACAGCTAATGGTCCAGTGGGCAGCTAATCCTCCACCTGATGCCATATTTTGCAAGTGGAGTAATCGTACAACATTCAACTACATAAACACTGAATGATTAAACTAAAATGAAGCTTTATTGAGTCAGAAGATTTTTATATTAACATATAACAAAGCATACACGTTCATGTCACATCATTATTTAATCCTTTTAGCACCAACAGTTTTAAATGATCTTAAATATTAAAATGTTTGCACTAAGATTAGCAAGTCAACCAAGTTTTAGTAAATGTCTAAGGAATTCATACGCGTTGTTGTTTGTCTTTGGCCCTGACGTATCGTTGTGGTACCGGTGGCAAGTTGTTGTTGCTGTGGCCTTTAGCCTGCTGAATTGTTTCCACACTTCTTAGCCCTGTCTGCTGGATTTATTTCAACACATGTACTGTAAAGAGGGTGGGTTATTTCAAACAGTAAAGGCTTGACTAAACATGGGACGAATTAACCAGTATTTCGCACATTTATTCCTGACAGGTACACATTATTATATTAAAAAAATCCTGACATTTTCAAACATACAGAGATAAAGACCAAAGCGAACATAAAATTTGTAAATTTTCTTGATATTGCCTACATTGAATGTTAAATGGGTTTCACATAAGGATCCTTTTTAAATCGTTAAATTGGTGGTAGATTTTTTCAATGATCATATCTCCGATATCTAAAACTTAGCTGCGTTTAAATACACCAGAAAATCTTGTTTTAAGAGTGGCAAGGGGAATCTTGCACATTTATACCATAGCTCTTTTGTATTAGTGTTACTTACTTCTAATTGGTTAACTAACCTTATTTAACCTCTTATATCAAATACATGGTCATGTTTGTTTGAATTCTTATTATGAATACCACATTAAGTTGCTACCATATGGATTTACTTGTTTGAACAAACCAACTTCTAGTTAAAATAAGGGCATCTAATTCTTTCTAATCCCTACTCCTGGACTATTTCGCTACATCAGTGATTTAACTAAGTGTAGTGATGTAGTGATGTTGGCATGTAGTTGTTTTAGGAGACAACCACCTTTACCTGAAGTTAAACTTCTTGGCCAAATTCCCAAATGCCCTATTACTGTAGATTCTAAGAACTGTAAGTATTAATATTTGTGTACATTGTAAGAACAATCCTATTAAGATGCGTGTACATCGTAAGAACTGTCCTGTTAAGAGTTATGTACAGTGTAAGAAGTGTCCTTTTAAGATTTATGTATATTGTAAGAACTGTCCTATTAATAGTTGTGTACATTGTAAGAATTGTCCTATTAAGATTTATGTATATTGTAAGAACTGTCCTATTAAGGGTTGTGTACATTGTAAGAACTGTCCTATTAAGATTTATGTACATTGTAAGAACTGTCCTATTAAGATTTATGTATATCGTAAGAACTGTCATATTTATATGCGCCCCAAATCATACCTCTTCGTTCAAATTAGGCCTATCTCGAAAAGGATACAATAATACCCGCTTAAGTTAATTCTAGAGGAACAACAAGTACAATATGACATGACCAAATGGTGGTACCTTTCAAGCACTCAGTCACACCGTGATATAACTAGACTGGCCAATAGGATCAATGCGCATGGTTAAACATTTGGCTCGATCATTACTGCAGAGGCGCTTTTCATTAAGTAAACATATAACCTTTCACATGAGCATCCTGCCGCTCCCTGACAGAATCATTAATCACTTTACAATTGAAACGGTTATATTACTGTATTAAGTAACGATTTAACTTTTTACATAATCCATCCTGCGCTCATTGACAGAATCAATTAAAACGGTTAAAAAGACCATTGAGCAAAATATCGAACCTTTCCCTCAAATCATACAATACATTATGATTCGTTGATCATAAGTTCAAGGTAAGGCCAGCCCACTCCCCAAACTCCCAAGTATATATATAGGGTGTGTGTTGGGATGTTAGTCCAGTAACCAGAGCCAGGTTATACCAAGGTAAAGTACAACTTTTATCTTCATCTTAAATATTGCAAACTACAGTGATCATAAAAATTATTTATGTGTTACGTTTTTTGGGAGAGTATATCTAAATTTTATATATATTCTTGTTTCTTGAGACTTATTTACTATCTGAGGCCAATGTTGGAGAATCAACGGTTTCAGATTTCTGCCGAAACAGGTTCCAGATTTCTGCCGAAACAGGCTCCATAGGACGAAAAAGGCAAATTATATGAATCGATAGCTGAAAATTATTGTTCACACTTAGGGTTATGCCTACGAGTAGCACTCGTCACACACACAAGTTTCATTTGAGATATATGTGATGGTGGATACGGAGTTTTCAAATGTCATAGCATTGGCTGACTGACTGATATAGAAGATTTAACGTGCGCTTTCCGACTGTAGCGTATTTCGCACACGGGCCTGGCCAGACCATTTAGTGTATTCCGAAAAGGGTGAAAGTGGTCTGGGCAACCCAAGAGGGGTTTTTTAGGGGTTGCTTATATTGAATTTTTGGAATTTTTAAATTTGGAATAAATGGCGAGGTGGGTCGAGGAGGGAACTAAGGGAGCCGGGTGAGGTGGGTGTTTGTATGTTTATTGGATTTTGGATTGGTAGATTAATTAGTTTTTAGATGCGCTTAATTAGGTCTGTTTTGATTAGGAATACGCCTAGGGCCTTGAAGTTTTCTAGTTTATTTTGAGGGTTTAGTATTTCATCTAGAGTAGGAACCTTATTTAGATTGAGGGTGGTTTGTAGTGTGGTTCTGTGTATTTGGTAGTGGGTGCAGTGGATGAGTGCGTGTTCTTTGGTTTCGGGTTGTTTGCAGTGGGGGCAGTTGCCTTTGGTGTGCCTTTTAAGTTTTGTTTAGGTGGTTATTTAGGTTAGTGTGTCCTGTTTGGAGTTTTGTAATTAATCTGTCAATTTTGTTTGAGGGGTGTAGGATTTAGGTTTGGCTAGTGGTTTTCTGAGCACTTTTTTGATTTGGCTATTTGAGTTTTGATATTGATTATGCCATTTTTTGGTTATCTTTTGTTTGTTTACACTTTTAATTTCTGATTTTGAGATGGGTAGGTTTAGGCTTATTTCTGGTATTTTGAGAGATAATTTAGCTGCTTTATCGGCGCTTATAGCATTGGATAGAATCGTGCATTATGTTGACAATTAACGTGTATTAATTAGTAGCTGAGCGGTAGACTTGAAGGCGAATATAGCTGATGGAATTTTACAGATGGTATATTGGTCTTCATGAAGGCGAATTCACGATTGGAAACTCGAAATCATCCCTCTTGCCGTACAGCCTGGGACAGAGGCTGCCAGAATTTTGAATTTCTATGCAGGGATCCAGATATGACACTGAATATTTTCACTTGTTTCTTTCATTCCAACTCTGATAAATAGTTGAAGTAAAGATTTTCATTTATCGTACCTTTGTTGAAAGAAATGACGTCATCTAAATATATCTGACGCTGAGGAAACAAAAGCCCTCGTGATGAGAGAACTATAACTTCTCTTTCATCTTATCACGAGGGATGGTTGTGTGAAGGGTGGATAAATCGAATGTATTTTCCTCGATTGTATAACTTCCAATAAATGTAATTTATCCCGGACGGGACTCAGCCCTAAAAGTACGAGAATTTGTACTTTACTAAGAAAGTGTACTTTGACCACGTTCTAAATGGCATTGTGTGTTCATTCCAATTAATCATTTGAATGTTTCAAGATCCACAAGTGATGAACTCCACTTCTCTCATATATTGTCTGATGGTAATTACGTAATTAGTCCTTGCTTGATTGGCGTCAAAATTATTTGTTTTTAGGTTTGTCAAGGTTTTGCTGGTACCTTTGCTGGATGTTGCAATATATCTTTACGTGTATGGAGTCTTCTGAAGCTAAGGGAATCAAGTATAAGGCTATAATGGATGTATTCTCAGATATTTCAGAAATTCCAGTAGTACATAGAAATAATTCTTGACAGACACATATTTCGTTTTCAGGACACCAAGGTTTTGTACTAAATCAACAAATACTAACGCAACATCCGTCAACACTGAGGTTTGTAGAAATTTCACACATTTTTACGAAACATCAGCTGGTGACTGACCAGATTCGTGTATCGTGATAAGTAGGTCCATGTGTCACAGCTGGTGACCGACTAGGTCCGTGTGTCACAGCTGGTGACTGACTAGGACCGTGTATCACAGCTGGTGACTGACTAGGTTCGTGTGTCACAGCTGGTGACTGACAAGGTCCATGTGTCACAGCTGGTGACTGACTAGGTCCGTGTGTCACAGCTGGTGACTGACTAGGTCCGTGTGTCACAGCTGGTGACTGACAAGGTCCATGTGTCACAACTGGTGACTGACAAGGTCCGTGTGTCACAGCTGGTGACTGACAAGGTCAATGTGTCACAAATGGTGACTGACTAGGACCGTGTGTCACAGCTGGTGACTGACTAGGTCCGTGTGTCACAGCTGGTGACTGACAAGGTCCGTGTGTCACAGCTGGTGACTGACTAGGCCCGTGTGTCACAGCTGGTGACTGACTAAGTCCGTTTGATACAGCTGGTGACTGACTAGGACCGTGTCACAGCTGGTGACTGACTAGGTCCATGTGTCACAGCTGGTGACTGACTAGGACCGTGTGTCACAGCTGGTGACTGACGAGGACCGTGTATCACAGCTGACTAGGTCCGTGTGTCACAGCTGGTGACCGACTAGGTCCGTGTGTCACAGCTGCTGACTGACTAGGACCGTGTGTCACATCTTGTGACTGCCTAGGACTGTGTATCACAGCTGACTGGGTCCGTGTGTCACAGCTGGTGACTGACTAGGTCCGTGTGTCACAGCTGGTGACTGACTAGGTCCGTGTGTCACAGCTGGTGACTGACTAGGAACGTGTATCACAGCTGACTAGGTCCGTGTGTCACAGCTGGTGACTGACTAGGACCGTGTATCACAGCTGGTGACTGACTAGGACCGTGTCACAGCTGGTGACTGACTAGGTCCATGTGTCACAGCTGGTGACTGACTAGGACCGTGTGTCACAGCTGGTGACTGACGAGGACCGTGTATCACAGCTGACTAGGTCCGTGTGTCACAGCTGGTGACCGACTAGGTCCGTGTGTCACAGCTGCTGACTGACTAGGACCGTGTGTCACATCTTGTGACTGCCTAGGACCGTGTCTCACAGCTGACTGGGTCCGTGTGTCACAGCTGGTGACTGACTAGGTCCGTGTGTCACAGCTGGTGACTGACTAGGACCGTGTATCACAGCTGACTAGGTCCGTGTGTCACAGCTGGCGACTGACTAGGTCCGTGTGTCACAGCTGGTGACTGACTAGGACCGTGTATCACTGCTGGTGACTGACGATGACCGTGTATCACAGCTGACTAGGTCCTTGTGTCACAGCTGGTGACTGACTAGGACAGTGTGTTACAGCTGGTGACTGATTAGGACCGTGTATCACAGCTGGTGCCTGACTAGGTCTGTGTGTCACAGCTGGTGACTGACTTGGTCCGTGTGTCACAGCTGGTGACTGACTAGGTCCGTGTATCACAGCTGGTGGACGACTAGGTCCATGTATCACAGCTGGTGACCGACTAGGTCCGTGTATCACAGCTGGTGACTGACAAGGTCCGTGTGTCACAGCTGGTGACCGACTAGGTCCGTGTGTCACAGCTGGTGACTGAACTGTAAATCTAATGAATCCTCATCATGTGAAACATGTTTTGGTCATTCCGTTCTGCATCTGGCCATCACCCAAACGCTACTTGTGTGTTGCCATTAATCCTAAACCTGAATATTATTATCTGCAGACATGGGGCCAAGGTTCCTTCTCCTGGTGGTGGTTGTCTTCGCCATGGAACAGACAGTTGCAGCCATGTCCGCTACAAAGGAGGCTTTCGCTGAAATACAGAAAGATCTGAAGTTCTTAAAATCAGGTCGGTGGCCACATGTGGCGTATAACCACAATAATGCAATGTTGTGAGATATAGACCATGACGACTCATTAAAGGGCCCAAAATTTAGGCTGAAAAAAAATTGGTTCTCAGGCAATAGCCTTTGAAAATATCGTGCGGGCGGGCGGGCGGCCCTTTTTTTGGCTTGTGTACACACTAGTAAGAATCCAAATCCGTATATCGGTGTGTTTAACTATAAGGCGGGTTTTTCATAGCTAGAATTAGGATGCTTTCAAGGTGTGTGCGTGTGTGTATGGGTGGGTTGGTGGGTGGTCGTCTTATACACAGGATTGAGCATTTTATGTTATGTTATTCACAGCAACCATGGTCATATTACCGCTATTGACGCCTTGAAACGAACTTTAGTGGATAGAGAATGGATATATATAATAAATACATTGTCATACATTGAATCGCTGAAAGTCATACTTGTTGTAGTTGACTACTATATGTCAACATTACGTTTTCGCAATCGCGGGCGCATGGACGGTGATTGTTTCAAATTTTTCCATTCGAAATCATTTCCGGCAATGGCGATCAGCTGAACCAAAGTGCTACGCATATGGTTATTAATTTATTTCACATAAATATAGTGAAGCTGCAACTACACATGATATTGGAATAAATTATTCCTGATAAAAAAAAGAGTTTCAGATGCAATTCTTCCGCTCATTGTATCAAAATTCTTTAAAGTTATAGTATTGGCCGAATCACCGGTAGATTCCGAGAAAAGTGTGTACAGCTGAATGCTACTTCAGGCTTAGTTTGCGAGACAGGATGCACGGTAATCTTAATCTCTGCATATAAAACAATGCCAATCAGAACAGGAAATACAATTTAATCGGCTAATCATTATGTTTAGTGGTGCTTTATCTCAAATTTCAAATTTATATTGACCAAGTTTAATTGATATATTCAGTTTCGTTTCCCTGAATTCACTGAAGGGCTACGATGTAATTTTTTTTCTGCGGAAGACAAACACATTTTTATTGCAAATGTAGAGATGTTGTATGCACTAGTGATGAGCTTCATTCCGATTCGCTTTGTAGCCGGGGTATATAAATTAGCATAGATTTCCAGCTTATTTTACGAGACCTCTGCGAATGAAATACTGTCCCTCATACAGTACACACATATAATTAAATTTGTATTTGAATACCATCATCATGTCTAATGATGTTGTATCGTAAATTTAATGTTTTCATTGACCAAATTTGCAAACAGCAAAGCAAGCACAAAATCTCCTATTGCCGCGATAGTAACACACGAGACGCGCAGTAAAGCAGTGCGCATGAAAAGGGATGTAACTGCAAGTTATATTGGATCGCATTGTTTTTAAGCGTTGTAGCATTTTACAGTTGAGGTCGTGTGTTCGAGACGCAGAACATTTAAGGATTTTTTTTTGAAAATGGAAATAAAAACGAAACGTGCGGCGGACGTTATGATGATGCGAAGGTGCCTGAAGCCAAGAATATTTTTTTAGCCATAATGTTAGATAATATATTATAGCATATGGCAAAATACCAATATCTAACGTAAAATTCTGTGTGCATCACTGCTGTAAGCCTCCCACTATCCCTAGTGCGCACGCATGCGTATTGACTAGATGCAGAGTTACGTCCCTTAGTGTAAGAAATCCTATGATCATGGGTTGGAATCCCAAGTTCGCCTTGATTATGATCTTTGGTTTATCAGCATCATATACGAGCGTATGTGCTCGTGAGTTTCACCAAAGTGGTAAACGTTAAATACTTTCACCATTGTGGGTCTTCCTCCATCATCAAGCAGACAAGCCATGTTACTGAACTACTTTTCAAAGTGGCGTCAATATCAAGCTCTCTGAATCACTTATTTAAAAGGCACCCTATAAAAGTGAATGAGATACTTGTGCATTAATATAGCACGTGGACTGCCTTCGTGATCTATTGGTAGAGAGGCTACCCGGAGAGCGGAAGGCCGGAGTTCGATCCCGACAGCATAATACCAAAACTTGCTTGTCCGGACTAGCAGCAAAACATACAGGCACGCATACACACACGTGCATGCGCGTCACTAAAAGTGCAATAATCTTGAACCCTATTTTTACCTCACCTCATGTAGCATGACATCGTACATGTAGAAAAGAAAGTCTTCACTCGATATTTTGCAGGTGTTGACCGTCTCGGGGGGACGTCGACAATTGAACAACACGCATCGTTTACATCCACAAAGCCAGAAGCACTGCGACTCAGCCACGAATACAGAGAGAAGTTTCTCTTAGTACAATCTGGAAAAAGGACTTCAAAGTAAGTGTTTCATTGGAGTTATTGTAGAATCGGTCAGAATCAAAAACAAGTGAACATCCTCGATGGTTGTAAACCTCAGATTATAAGCGGTGCACTCCTGGTGTCATCACTATTTGATAGTGATCTATATACACATGATTATGATAAGGTCGGAATAGTACAATCGAATCTGCTTTCAGCAGATAATATTTGATGAATATGGAAAGGATTTTGGCGCTTTTATTAACACAATCAAGACAACCATTGAAAATAGTCTAAGGAATGTTTGATGGTCTGGCAACATTATTGTTAAAGAGGGAGGGTCACGGGTACCCCAGTCGTCTAAGGCGCCGCCATTCGCTCTGCTAAGTTGCGTTCCCTAGGCGCGCCAGAAACCTCTCATTGTGCGCTCGAGTCCCGATTCGCCAAGATTATATTCTAGATTTGTCAGCATCATACCCGGTATGTGGTAAACGTCTGAGACCTGCATCACTTCCTGCTTTCTTCCAACATTAAGTTGACGCACCGTGATATAACTGGGATACTGTTCAAAGCGGCGTTAATTCCAACTCACTCACTCGCTCACTTGAAGAGGGTTATGTTGAAGGTAATGACAATAAATTGTGGCATTTTTAGGAATGTGACTTTTCATTATAGCAAAAACCCTATTATGATGCGTCATCTTTTATTGTACAAGAATGTCATATCAATCTTCATCCACGTTCACAGGGACGTCTGCAGCAGCTCCGTGGTGTGTAACAAGACCGACATGTTCCGGTCAGCGGACGGCAGCTGTAACAACATCCGACATCCTGACTGGGGAAAGAGCTTCATCCCATTGAGGAGGTTCCTTCTGCCGAAATATGACGATGGTGAGTTCTATACATACATAGTTCTGACTCGTTCATAGTAGTGTGCTCCACGCCCGTGATACGTGCATGTGCCTTTTAGCATACATATATTCTAAGTTCATGTGCTTTGGACCGCCTCCGTGGTCAAGAGGAAGGTCGGTGTTTCAATCCCGACCACGTCATACCAAAAGAATTTAAATGATAATACTTTTTGATACAGTACCTGGTGCTGGGCGTTAAGGGGCTGAAACAAGGACTGATCGGCTCAGATTCAGTATACTGTGGGGAATCCTTGTTAAACTAATTTTAATGCTGGACATCGTCATCTGTGTAAAAGTTTTGGGAAAGACATTTTAGCAAGAGGTAGACATCGGCAGTTGCACCACATGTCCTCGGTCCTTTTATGCATATGAGTCGGAAGTTCTGCTCGGATTGGAAAAATAACAAAGGGTAATTTTTGCCAAGAAGTTTAACATAAGCTTCAGGTATATCGATGGTCTGATATCGTTCAATAACCATCAAACAGCCAATTCCCTTCCACTGATTTACTCACCTGAACTAGAAATAAAGGAGACCAGTGAGACCGCCTCATCTGTTTCATACTTAGATCTATGCATAAAGATTCAGAGTGACAAAACACTTTCTACAGGACTGTATGACAAGAGGGAAGACTAAAACTTTACAAAAGTCAATTCTTCCTTTTTGTCGAGCAATTTTCCTTTGGGGTTTACATGTCACAACTTTTGAGGTACAATCGAGCATGCTATTTCTACCAACATTTCAAATAGCGTCATACGATTCATGTCCAGAAGTTGTTTGAACAAGGTTGCAACATTCAAGGCATCAGTAAAGATTTCAGAACGTTTTATGGTAGACATGTGGAAGACATTTCCAAATTGACGCACCAGTGACATAAATTATGTCCGATGCAGTTCCTATTTTCGAACACCAGGTGTCATCACTATTTGATAGCGATATATACACACATGCTTATGGTATGGTCGAAAATCGTACAATGGACTCTGCTTTTGGCAGATGATTCTTAGGAATATGGAAAGGGTTTTGTCGCTTTTATTTTATTCAACATGCCGTCTCAGTGGTCTCGCGAGCAGGCAAGGACGCACACGTCACTATATGCGAGCAATAATCTTGAACGCGACGTTAAGCCTTATTTCCCCTTACCTCACCATGTGCGTAAACTTCAGAACTTCATCTCCACACACTACACACGTTTGCCCACATATCTCTACTGTCTGCAGACATATCCTCACCACGAACAAAGGGAATTCATAGACGCCCGCTTGTAAGTGCTCGGCTAGTGAGCACCACTCTGCACACTGCTGACGTCGACGCCACGTCACGGAGTGACGCCACACACATGGCCATGCAGTGGGCTCAGTTTCTGGATCACGATCTCAGCATAACTGCTGTACAACGCGGTAAGTTATACTCATTACATAGTCACTCCCTTGGTTACTCTGTAGAGCAACCCTATAAGAAGAACTACTGAGGTAAGACTGCAATAGGGGGTTTCGTGGTGAGATTTCTATATTGTCGCGTAGGGGACAGTTTTGTTTAACGCCCATTCTGACAGTATTCCAGTTACATCATGGCGTGTCATCTAAATGTGTAAGGAATACCTGAAGGGATGCAGGTCTCAGACGTTGATTACTTTGTTGAAACCCACGAGCGTGGTGTCGCGCTGAGAAACCTAGAAACATAATCTGCGCGAATCAGGAGTCGAACCCATGGTCATATGTTTCTGACGTGTCTAAGGGAAGCAACTCTGCACAAGGAATTGCGGTAACTTAGACGACTGTGCCTCCCGATAAGTAAGTACTAATAATATGTGTCTGGAGTTTAGTGCCCACAGCACCCGATGAAGCTAAATTAATGTTCACTTCATGTCTTGTCGGAACCGCGCTACGTAAGACTTTTTCATGATCAAACTAGAGAAGTGTATCTTGATTGGATCTTGATATTTGTCAAGTTCTTGGATGAAAATACAAATTCTGTGTTTCAGGCGCAGATGGGTCTACAATGATCTGTTGTAAGGATGACGTCCCAAAGGGCTACAACCATTCTGCCGACATCTACGACAGGTACATATATACTGGGAGACAATACTGCACACCGCTTCTATGAAATTAATAATACAAATGAACAAGTTAAATTTGACAAACACAGACATAGTGCGAGTGGTACGAATGAAAAGGACTTCATCTTGAATAAGGATTATCCCTACTTTCTGCCAGATATCAGTGCTTCAACATTGCCGTGCCACCAGGAGATCGAAGGTTCAAGCGCACATGTCTCAACTTTGTCCGATCAGTGCAAGTGGCCAACACAAACTGTGACATTAGTGAGTACAAAATCAGAGATTCATTGGTGGTGGGCGCTACGTTCAGAGTGTCATGGTGCTACGTTCAGAGAGTCATGGGTGGTATATGTTACGTTCAAATGTCATGGGTGTGACGTTCAGAGAGTCATGGTGCTACGTTCAGAGAGTCATGGGTAGTGTGTGTTACGTTCAGAGTGTCATGGGTGTAACGTTCAGAGAGTCATGGTGCTACGTTCAGAGAGTCATGGGTGGTGTGTGTTACGTTCAGAGTGTCATGTGTCTGACGTTCAGAGAGTCATGGTGCTACGTTCAGAGAGTCATGGGTGGTGTGTGTTACGTTCAGAGTGTCATGGGTGTTACGTTCAGAGTGTTATGTGTCTTACGTTCAGAGTGTCATGGGTGTTACATTCAGAGAGCCATGGGTGGTGGGTGTAACGTTCAGAGAGTCATAGGTGTTACGATCAGATTGTCATGGAGTTACGTTCAGATTGTCATCCTGTTACGTTCAGAGATTCATGGGTGGTGGGTGTTACGTTCAGAGGTCATTGGTGTTACGTTTATAGTGTCATGGGCGTTTCGTTCAGGGAGTCATGGGTGGTGGGTGCTACGTTCAGAGTGTCATGGGTGTTACGTTCAGAGTGTTATGTGTCTTACGTTGAGAGAGTCATGTGTGTTACATTCAAAGAGCCATGGGTGGTGGGTGTAACGTTCAGAGAGTCATAGGTGTTACGATCAGATTGTCATGGAGTTACGTTCAGATTGTCATGGTGTTACGTTCAGAGATTCATGGGTGGTGGGTGTTACGTTCAGAGGTCATTGGTGTTACGTTTATAGTGTCATGGGCGTTTCGTTCAGGGAGTCATGGGTGGTGGGTGCTACGTTCAGAGTGTCATAGGTGTTACGTTCAGAGCGTCATGGTGTTACGTTCAGAGCGTCATGGGTGGTGGGTGTTACGTTCAGAGCGTCATGGGTGTTACGTTCAGAGTGTCATGGGTGTTACGTTCAGAGAGTCATGTGTGTTACATTCAGAGAGTCATGGGTTGTGGTCGTAACGTTCAGAGCGTCGTGGGTATTACGTTCAGAGAGTCATGGGCGTTACGTTCAGATTTTCATGGAGTTACGTTCAGATTGTCATGGTGTTACGTTCAGAGACTCATGGGTGGTGGGTGTTACGTTTAGATTGTCATTGGCGTTACGTTCAGAGCGTCATGGGTGTTACGTTCAGAGAGTCATGTACTAGTATTACGTTCAGATTGTTATGTAGTCATGGGTGTTACGTTCAGAGTGTCATGGGTGTTACGCTCAGAGTGTTATGGGTGCTACGTTCAGAGAGTCATGTATTACGTTCAGATTGTTATGGTGTTACGTTCAGAGTGTCATGGGTGTTACGCTCAGAGTGTTATGGGTGCTACGTTCAGAAAGTCATGTATTACGTTCAGATTGTTATGGTGTGAAGTTCAGAGAGTCATGGGTGTTACGCTCAGAGTGTTATGGGAGTTACGTTCAGAGAGTCATGTATTACGTTCAGATTGTTATGGTGTTACGTTCAGAGTGTCATGGGTGTTACGCTCAGAGTGTTATGGGTGCTACGTTCAGAGAGTCATGTGTTACGTTCAGATTGTTATGGTGTTACGTTCAGAGTGTAATGGGTGTTACGCTCAGAGTGTTATGGGAGTTACGTTCAGAGGGTCATAGGCGGTCGAGTAATAGGTTCAGATATTCACGGGAGGTGGGAGGTTCAAGTTTTAGGTTCAAGTGTTATTGGTTATGGACTGGTTGTAAGTGATTAAACGTAAAAGGTTCAGCAACGACATGTGAGGTGGAAGCGTAGTACACGCAGAGCGTCATGGGAGGTGGGAATGTGATTCGCTCAGAGTGTCAAAGGTGGTGGGTCCCTAATACGTTTAGAGTGCCATAGGTGGTGGGAGTGTAATACAATCACAGTGTCATAGGAGATGGGAGAATTTTAGGTTCAGAGATCAATGGGTGGTATGATAGTAATAGGTTCAGAGATCCATGGGTGGTGGGAGAGTTATAGGTTCAGAGATTCATGGTTGGTGGAGAGTTGTAGGTTCAGAGATTCATGGGTGGTGGGAGAGTTATAGGTTCAGAGATTCATGTGTGGTGGCAGAGTTGTAGGTTCAGAGATTCATGAGTGGTGGGGGAGTTGTAGGTTCAGAGATTCATGGGTGGTGGGGGAGTTGTAGGTTCAGAGATTCATGGGTGGTGGGGGAGTTGTAGGTTCAGAGATTCATGGGTGGTGGGGGAGTTGTAGGTTCAGAGATTCATGGGTGGTGGGGGAGTTGTAGGTTCAGAGATTCATGGGTGGTGGGGGAGTTATAGGTTCAGATATCCATGGGTGGTGGGGGAGTTGTAGGTTCAGAGATTCATGGGTGGTGGGGGAGTTATTGGTTCAGATATCCATGGGTGGTGGGGGAGTTATAGGTTCAGAGATTCATGGGTGGTGGGGGAGTTGTAGGTTCAGAGATTTATGGGTGGTGGGGGAGTTATAGGTTCAGAGATTCATGGGTGGTGGGGGAGTTGTAGGTTCAGAGATTTATGGGTGGTGGGGGAGTTATAGGTTCAGATATCCATGGGTGGTGGGGGAGTTGTAGGTTCAGAGATTCATGGGTGGTGGGGGAGTTGTAGGTTCAGAGATTCATGGGTGGTGGGGGAGTTATAGGTTCAGAGATTCATGGGTGGTGGGGGAGTTGTAGGTTCAGAGATTTATGGGTGGTGGGGGAGTTATAGGTTCAGAGATTCATGGGTGGTGGGGGAGTTTTAGGTTTAGAGATGTATGGGTGGTGGGGGAGTTTTAGGTTTAGAGATTCATGGTTGGTGGAGAGTTGTAGGTTCAGAGATTCATGGGTGGTGGGAGAGTTATAGGTTCAGAGATTCATGTGAGGTGGCAGAGTTGTAGGTTCAGAGATTCATGGGTGGTGGGGGAGTTTTAGGTTTAGAGATTTATGGGTGGTGGGGCAGTTTTAGGTTCAGGGATTCATGGGTGGTGGGGGAGTTTTAGGTTTAGAGATTCATGGGTGGTGGAGAGTTATAGGTTCAGAGATTCATGGGTGGTGGGAGAGTTATAGGTTCAGAGATTCATGGGTGGTGGAGAGTTATAGGTTCAGAGATTCTTGGGTGGTGGTGGGGTTTTAGGTTCAGAGATTCATGGGTGCTGGGAGAGTTATAGGTTCAGAGATTCATGGGTGGTGGCAGAGTTGTAGGTTCAGAGATTCATGGGTGGTGGGGGAGTTATAGGTTCAGGGATTCATGGGTGGTATGATAGTTATAGATTCAGGGATTCATGGGAGCTGGGAGAGTTATAGGTTTAGAGATCCATGGGTGGTGGGAGAGTTATAGGTTCAGAGATCCATGGGTGGTGGGAGAGTTGTAGGCTCGGGGATTCATGGGTGGTGGAGAGTTATAGGTTCAGAGATTCATGGGTGATATGATAGTTATAGGTTGAGGGATTCATGGGTGGTGGAGAGTTATAGGTTCAGAGATCCATGGGTCGTGGGAGAGTTATAGGCTCAGGGATTCATGGGTGGTGGAGAGTTATAGGTTCAGAGATCCATGGGTGGTGGGGGAGTAATAGGTTCAGAGATCCATGGGTAGTGGGAGAGTTATAGGTTCAGAGATCCATGGGTGGTGGGAGAGTTATAGGTTCAGAGATTCATGGGTGGTTGGAGAGTTATAGGTTCAGAGATCCATGGGAGATGGGAGTGTAATTCGTTCAGATATTCATGGGTGGTGGAGAGTTATAGGTTTAGAGATTCATGGGTGGTGGGAGAGTTGTAGGTTCATAGGTAGGTGCTGATAACAGGCTTGAACATTATAATGAGCAATATGAATAATTTAGTGTGGATCAAAATTTATTTTGCAGTAAATGCCTTTTGTTTCCATTGAATACGGTTACATTTACACCCACACCCATCTGCTCGAAACTTTCACTGACTTTTTATCCTCTGCTGACTTGTCTGTGTGCGGCTGTTCCGTCCACACCGCACCGCAACTGTCATCGTTGCCATCACACTCACTCGAAATGTCATCCGAAATAATTGATTCGTCCACTGGATTCCGATCTTCAATATATTCTTGCAATTCCTCGTCATCTTCGCACAAGTTTAACTGACAACAGTGTGTGGCAAGCTGGTGATAGCTGAGTCGACATATTGTTTACCGCCAACGGAAACCGTCTCAAGGTCATGAAAATGTTGGTGCTCCCTGTTGCATTGAAAATACCTAGCTAACTTAAATTTACTAATACTAATACCAAAACTAATTTAATAGGTTTATTTACAGTGTTGTCTGTCTGTCTTTGGTTGAAATATAATTTGACTAAATAATAATAGACCTGGGCGACACTGAATCTAGGTCAAACGACAGCATCGTGACTATCTGTGGGAAAGAAAACCAGACTTACCGTATTCGACGTAATAACCGCCCCGCTCAATAGGCGACCAGGGCGATTTTTGTTAATATATTGGCAAATGAACAATCCAAATTAGCACCCCTTCCAACTGATCAATGTATACAAGACTTATTTATTCGCGTATGATACACACGTGTGTGTTATATGCACCCTTAATTATGGGCAATTTAATTCTGGAAAAATATATCTGTCGTACATAAACATTTCAGGTTGTCAGCTTAAACCACAAAATTTATCTTTCAACTGTTTTTTTCCACCAAAATAATATTCTCATAAGAGCCCCCTATTCCCAATTTTGAGAGCGCCCTGGGCGCTTATTACGTCGAATACGGTATAAGTTATTTTGTTTCCAGTAACAACATTCGTCAGGATGATTTTACTATGAATTAAAATACAAGTTGTTTGTGTGATAAGTACTGTTCAGCGACAAGAGCAGATTCAATTTGTTCCATCGTGATGGCCGGATGCTGGTGTATCGACGGAAAGGTGAAGGATTGTCTCAAGGATGCATCAAAGACGTTCACCCTTTTGGAGGCTTGAGAGTCCTAGTGTGGAGCTGCATTTGTGGTGAAAGGAAGACGTCTTGTCATTATCGACGGAAATTGGAAAGCTAAATTTTAATGGGGATGTCATTCTGTATCTGGTTGTTCTGTCCCTTCTCAGAAGACAGTCACAAGGGTTTCTGTTCAAACAGCACATGTCAGGCCCAACACTGCTCGAAATATTCCAGGACTTTTAACATCAAGAACGTACCCGTGTTACCTTGGCCGTCACGCTCACCGACAGAACATCTTTGAGATCATCTTGGGCGACAGATATGGCAACCTCTAATCCTGCTGAACAACATACGTCATGGGAAGAGTTGGACCACATACCGAATGGCATCAGGGTGTCCAAGCCTGTCTATACGCCCGGTCGTGAGGACGTCACACTAGATGCTGATACCATTATCGAGGTGCTATGGATGCGTTCAGCTTTGTTATCAGATTTTCATCATCTGTTTTTTAAGATAAGACAGTTGTGACCCCAGATGTGTTTGATTGCTTTTTGTTAATCCATCCCACGTGCCGTGAAATTGTCTCTAGGCTTGTACCACAAATGAATGTACTTCAAAAGATATGTAAATTGTACATTTTCTCTTTGTCTGGTCATAAGCAGACCAAGTTGGTGTATACATTCTTTTGATCATTAGTTTATAAAATCTGATTAATTGAAAGGAGACATGTATGTTGAAATTATATGAAATCATGTTTTTGTCACAGTATGAAAAGGAGCGGACGGGTAGCCTAGTGGTTAGAGCGTTCGCTCGTCACGCCGAAGACCCGGGTTCTATTCCCGACACGGGTACAATGTGTGAAGCCCATTTCTGGTTCCCCCGCCGTGATTTTGCTGGAATATTGCTAAAATCGTAAAACCATACTCACCCACTCACTAACTACAGTATGAAAGGACGAGAGAAAACTTGAGATGTTTGTACAGCCGGCACACGTGCTGATTTCCATGGAAGCTAGTTTACGTCAAAATATTTTCTTTCGTGACGTTACAGCACAATTGGATCCCAGGACTCTTTCTCCTAGCGGGTCAAAGTTATTATTGATGTCAGTAAGATAATAGAAGGGTGACTTCAGATTTATGATTATTGTAACTTGGTATCCGTAGTATTGTACAGTCAAACAGAGTTAATGTATGTCATCTCCTTGTAGCACCAGCAGAACAGCTGAACCAGCTGACAGCCTATGTGGATGCATCCCAGGTGTATGGCTCGACACAGGAGGAGCAGGACGAACTCAGGGCTCACACGGGAGGTATGGCACACATACATACATGAAGTGCTACACAAATTCTTCCATTGTACTATTATTGGAAATAAAAGGGACAAAACCATTTTCATGATAATAGGAAATCTCTAGTATATGTCGATAGTGCTTATGAATTGCTATGAATCGCTATCAAATAGAGTTGATACCTAGTGGCACCCATAACAAACAAATGCAAAGGCAAGTCATTTGTTAACCTGAATAACAAGAGAACATATGGTACAAGTGTAATTCGGCAATCGCTGGTGCATCTAAACTGGAAATGACCACAACATAAATATTTTGGAAAACTGTAACCTTGATTAAGCAACCATATTACGCTCTTTCTAATCATTGTAGAAAGAGAATGTCAATTGTACCCCCAAAAGATGTGAAATGTAGAAATTATAGACTAACGAGACAGTTTGCTTTCAATAGTTTAAAGCATCTAACTTATGAGCTAATTAGTGTTTGAAAAAGTACATGGGCTCCGTCAAAGGCTCCCGATAGTCAAACAAGGGTTCTGATGTGTGCTACTGTTGGCTTATCACCAGTGACAATTAAAACTGAAGCGTTCATCATTTACCAGTTTGCAAATACTAATATGCACATTTTTTTTCTACTTTTACCGTATTTCAGGTTTGCTAAGAACATCCCTTAGGAGGCCAGAACTGTTACCTAGAAACCCTGTTTCCGATTGCATCACGTCCACTGAACCCAACTTTTGTTTCAGGGCAGGTATGTAATTGTTTATTCATGCAGGGCGTTTGGGTAGAAGTGTAGTGGGATCTGATTACACTGAAGTCAGTAGACACTGACGTGTCTAGCTGAGACAGCAGTGTTATTTAGAAACTTGGTCAGGTGATAAATGTGTATTCAATGTATACAAAGTTCTGCATCGGGTCCATCTAAATTACTCAGCTTCCATCAGACGCATTATTGATTGATCTACAGTAGTGATTCATATGTGTTCTGTTCACCAAGATATCTATATTAGCGAGTAAAACTGTATACTGCCATTATGAAGTGAGTATAACATACTATTACTATTATAATTATATATTACCTTCACTGAGAACGCCAGTACCCTCGACCAGGTTCAGAACCATGTCCGTATTACACAAGTTCGTGTCTGGACAGACTGTCAGCATCCCATTAATTGTACAGGTATCAATTTGAACAGATCATTGGTTGCCTGCTGCAGGATTTGAGTATTAGCTGGTTCTTCATTGGCTGTAGAGAAGCGTAACTGATACCTTTTATTATTTATGTACAGGTGACGAGAGAGTGGACGAGCACATGTCTCTGGCAAGTATGCACACCATCTGGCTGCGGGAACACAACAGAGTGGCCAGGAAGCTTGCACGTATCAACCGTCGATGGGATGATGAGCGGCTGTTCCAGGAAACCAGGAGGATTCTGGGAGCCATGATACAGCACATCTCCTACGCCGAATTCCTTCCCCTCGTCCTCTCAACCAAGTTTCTCACCAAGTTTGGGCTCCGACCATCGACTGGTCCTGTTAATATTTACAATGCCAGTATTGATGCCAGTGTTCGCAATGCCTTTGCTACAGCTGCCTACCGCTTCGGCCACTCTATGATAAGATCCTTCTTTAGTCGTCCAAACAGGAGATTTAGGGGTGGAGAAGCTCTCCGACTTAGAGACTCATTTGGAAATACATCCATAATTATTTCAACTGCTGGTGATGCTGTAAATGAACTAACAAGAGGGCTGCTGGTTGATAGGGCCAATTCTGTGGACAGACACATCACCCCTGAAGTTACAGACTTCCTCTTCCCAGATGATGAAGGTAACAGTCTCGATCTGATGGCTTTAAACATTCAACGTGGCCGCGACCATGGCCTACCAGGGTACAATGCTTGGCGGAGGTGGTGTGGACTCCCTGAAGCTAAGGATTTTAAACCACAACGTGGAGGTCTTGTGGATCATCCTGATGATGCTGCAGCTGCTCTAGCGTTGGTGTATAGGTACGTTGAAAGCAGATAGAAGTCTGATACAGGGAGAGGTCAAGGATAATCCAAAGTAGATAATAGGGATAAGAGACTTGATCAAACTCGGAATGGGAGCGGTGGTGTGTAGAGTTTAGGTCAGGATTTAAGAGGCTGCCTTTGTCCGTTTTTGAGGTACTAGCTGATCAATCAGATGAGATCGGACTGTGGGTACTATAGAAGAGATAAACAGTTTTTGTCTGTATGGCTTTCGTCAAGGCTGTATTAAATGCTGTCAGTGTTAATTATAAATGCCTTTTAAATTTAATACTTATAGGTCTCCTGAAGACATCGACCTGTTCTCCGGGGGCGTGTCTGAACGCCCAGTTCGTGGAGGTCTCCTAGGGAACACGTTCTCCTGTATTGTTGGCCGTCAGTTTGAACTGCTGAAAGTGGGCGACAGATTCTGGTATGAGACGAATGATGATGTCGTCGGGTTTACCCGAGGTATGTAGCCCCCTGTGAACATCAGACGAGTATTTCATGATACAGACAAGTCCCATTAATCCGACATGGTTGGTTGCATATGTTTATGTCGGATTATATTAATAGTTCAACTTATCCTATGCATTTGAGTGGGTGGGAGTTTCACGCCGTTATAATCCATGTTTGATAAAAGAGACAAATCCGTTTCCATAATAATAAGACTATATCGTGGACTGTATCATGAGCATGTGTTTATGAATCACCATCATATACCGATGATACCAGGTGTTCGCGAATTGGTGAGCGTATCCTGTCCCACCGGTGGCACCCGTCACATAGAAAGGCAATTCCGATGTCCAAACATAATGATGCAAGATGCCAAAATATGGACATACATCGGACATTCATCTACAGGACTACCATAAAACCTTTTGGGTCTTTATCACACATCTTTTGAACAAGTGTCGTATGACGCCCTTTGAAATCTGCGAAAGTCATATCACTTCGGCGGACACCAAGATCTAGGTAGTGTTGCTTGCTAATGTGTGACCGCCTCCATGGTCTAGTGGTAGAGCGTCCGCCCGGAGAGCGGAAGGTCGATCCCCGACCGCGTCATAGCAAAAGACGTTAAAAGATGGTACTTGGTGTTACCCTGTCTGGCGCTCGGCATTAAGGGGCTAAAACAAGGACTGGTCGGCTCAGAGTCAGTATACTGTTTCTGAGTTGGGTATTCATGTTAAACTGCAGCATGGTGTCTGAGTGAGCTAGCACTATAAATCGGCATCAGTCCGGACTAGTACAAGCAGCCACACAAACACACACACCTACATGCACGTCGCTATATAAGTGCAATAATCTTGGACGCGACGTTAAACCCCATTTCGCCTCACCTCACCTGCTAATGTGTGTTTCCTCTCCCAACAGAACAGCTGTCTGAACTCCGTGACTCGTCTCTCTCCCGTGTGGTCTGCGACAACACCGACACCTACAAGATCCAGCCTAACGCCTTTAGAAAAATAGGAAAAGGGTGTGTACAATGGTTGTAAATACTGCTACGAGGTTACTTCCAAACTGAAGCACTAAAGTTGACCCAGAAATCGTTACGTAAAAAAATAAATTGGGAAATCAGCAAATGACTCCACAGAATCACTGAATCCATACAAATGTTGAAACACACAGTTTTAGGTTTACAATAAACACGGGGGCACGAATTGTCCAGTCGTCTAAGGCGCCGCGATTCGCTGTGCAGAGTTGCGTCCCTTGGGCACGCCAGAAACCTATGATTGTGGGTTCGAATCCCGGTTCGCCCCGATTATGTTTCTAGGTTTGTCAGCACCATACCCGTGCTCTCGGGTTCCACCGAAGTGGTAAACGTTTGAGACCTGCATCACTTCGGGCTTTCCTTCGACATTAAGCTGACACGCCGCGATATAACTGGAATACTGTTAAAAGCGGCGTTAAACCCAATTCACTCACTCACTCTATTGCCATATAACAATACTGAACTAAAACACATACAGACACTTAAACTTACAAGATACAGATGCTGATAATCTACAGCCACAACTAATATACCTCTACCTGTATTTAATAAATACGAATTGGCAATGCTAGAGAATAATCAGTGTAGATTATCTGCCGAAACAGATTCCAGTTGGCGTTAAAGGAAAAATAGCTTTGGAAATTATATGAATGTACCTCTAAAGGGAATTCCGGGGTAGAAGTGGTCATCTATAACATAGGATTGTCGGATAAATGGATCCTTTGGTCAGGTCATGTGACTTGGTTGATTGCATATGTTGTCTGCCCTGATGGCGTTGATCGGTGCTCATGCACTGTCGCTGGTTTGCCTGATCCCGATTAAATTATTTACAGGTCGCCGTGATATCTCTGCCTTAAAAACACTTTCACTTAATAAAAGAGATTGAGACGAAACAGATGTGAGTTAGTGAGTGAGTGATTAGGTTTTACGCCACTCTTAACAGTATTTCATCAATATCACGGCGGGAACCAGAAATAGGCACTGTTCTAAAGTGATTGTATTGGTGAAATGAGATACGATGACTTCAACCAATCAACGAACCTGACCACCATCCGATCCTGTCAGTCGCCTCTTACGACAAACATGTGTTGCTGAAAACCAATTCTGACAGGTCAGGCGGACTTTACAAAAAATACATTGTTGCAAGGGGTTCTTCTTAAAAAAATATATTCAGGCTCATAGTTTTAATTAAAAAAGGGGGCGGTCGGGTAGCCTAGTGGCTAGTGGTTAAATTTGCTCCTCACGCCGAAGACCTGGGTTCGATTCCCGACATGGGTACAATGTGTGATATTGCTGGAATATTGCTAAAAGCGGCGTAAAACAATACTCACTCACTAATTAAAAAAGATCTGGTTTTGCAGCTGTAGCTGAATATGTTTTTGATCTAATCCCCATACAAACCCCACCCCAACCCTGTCAAGAACATAAAATGGTCGACTCAGGCTTACAATCCCTCGGGACAATTAATCCGTTATTCCTCGAAGCTCGTTGGTTATTCTCTTAATGTTACATTCAGAATTAACAGAATCAGACCATAGAAACTTTAATATCTAACATACACCTTCACACATGTATTCCCCAGTAGGACCGCCTCCGTGGTCTAGTGGTAGAGCGTCCACCCGGAAAGCGGAAGGTCCGGGATTCGATCCCCGGCCAGATTCACCTTCACATATGTTTTCCCACTAGGGCCGCCTCCGTGGTCTAGTGGTAGAGCGTCCACCCGGAAAGCGGAAGGTCCGGGGTTCGATCCTCGGTCACATACACCTTCACACATATATCGGCATCAGTCTGACTAGTACAAGCAACCACACACACACACGTGCATGCACGTCGCTATATAAATCTTGGACGCGACGTTAAACCCCATTTCACCTTCACCTCACATATTCCACACGAAATGATTTACAGATTTTAAACAATTTATCCCGTGTTACAGGAACAAAATCAGACTTTGCAGAACGCTGCCAGCAGTGGACTTGAGCGCTTGGCGGGACTCGGAGAAAGGAATGTGGTCCCACTGGTCAACGTGGTCAAGCTGCTACCTCGGACAGAGGACACGCACTAGGAGATGTCATCGGAAGAGTCGTGGATTTCCCGGGGCGTGCAGGGAGAAGAAGGCGTGTGACTCGGGGTGTAAGTTTGGGCATTGGGGGTCCTGGAGTCACTGTGTGAAGGGGTGTGGCTACAGAACACGCGTGTGCACCTGTAGAAGGTGCCGCTACGGGGACCTCTTCCAGTCAAGAGGGTGTCGTTTGCACACCAGCTTCAATCACAGAACATATTGTAAAAGAATGTATGGCATCCTTAAACGCTGGATCTGAGACATGTTCTCACTCAGCTTCTTGATCAAATAAAGCAGAGCATACTTGAACTCGATTTGTTATATTTAGTCTGTACAAGATACATAAAGCGCACATAAATATTTAAGTAATATAAAAGTAGAAAGACACATAATAAAACCAAAACTAGTAATATGTTTTCACAACAATGCTGGAAGTTCCTGAATCATTTGTTATTGTTTTGAAGGACAAGGGGTATTAAGTTGACACAATCATATTGGTATACATGAAATTGTTGACATTGATATATTTATAGTGGTAAAGTTATCAATATTTTCACATAATCAATCTGTTTAAAGTCATAGTAACTTTATTGTAATGTTATTTCATTATGAACGCGATCAGTGGAGACATGCAGATATTATTGTAACCGGGATCGTGTAGGTTATAGGAAGACCAGACACAGGCTACGGGTGTGAGACTTTATTTTCTTTGTCTGTTGACAGGCAGACACCCTGAAACACATGTATAGGGAATACAATACTAACGTACAGGTTGCGATGAACGTTAAACACATTGAATGCTAAATATAGAGAAACTATGTTTCTTATACAATTGCAATATAGGCACACATTAATAAGTTTCGTACCCTGTGGGTGACACTGGGGTGTAGATATTCCACGTCCTCTGGAGGAATATAGCGCTGCTATAAAAATAAACAAACCACATTCAGAATATTCTAAATGCGCACATATATAGAAATACAATTGAATGTGGTATTGTATAAATTACTAATAAACTTCATGACGATAAAGTATATGAAATATCAGGTCATATCATTCGTTCATTAATTCATTCTTTCATTCAACTATTTATACACCTCAACTTACATTTTAAAGCATAGGCGTTATGTTGATAATGCTGAACAGTATTAAACTTATGAATAAACGCCATTGCACAAAATATGCACAACTACACGATTATACATTTTAGCAAACATTATGATGCACTAGGATAATCAATTTACACCAATACCATTACTACTAAGTACATAACATATATACAATCCTTAAAACATTATACTAACCTTTAGATTTGTTGTTTAGTCCTAAGTGCTCGGAGATGCGATCGCTGACGTGCTCTGATTGTTGTAAAGTGCAATGGCTGACGTGCAAGTAGCTTTTAGTATTTTAAAAACAAGCCAATCCACACAAGGGGCCGCGCAAGACAAAGAACATAAGACAGGCAATGACACAACACAACCTGTCACCCCTTATACCGTAATAGACGTGACAAAGATCTAAAAATAACTATAGGCTAACGCTTGAAGATGATACTATTAGAGGTAAAACTATAAACAATCACAATTCTAACAACCTGAAATGACAACCTATATACATGGAAATTCATATCTGCCACATTATTAAAATTGAGCCTGATACGACACTTATTTGCGCTGTCCAAAAGTGCTAATACCGCGCTACACAAGAACGTTTCCCGCACGGTGATATGTTTAAGGCCCATCCCCCTACACCTTGACACGCATACCTCGCTGCACTCAAAGCGGTCAACGTTTCCTGCATAGCAATATGTTTTAGGCCCATCCCCCTACACCTTGACACGCATACCTCGCTACACTGAAAGCGATCAACGTTTCCTGCATAGCAATATGTTTTAGGCCAGTCCCCGTACACCTTGACAGGCAAACCTCGCGACACTGAAAGCGGTCAACGTTTCCTGCATAGCGATATGCTGCAGGCCTATCCCAGACTTCTCGACAGGCAGATCCGCTACACGGAAATGGGTCGACGTTTCACCGCAGCAAAATGCTGTATGGGGAAATAGGTCGGATAGAGATAGACTGGTACCTTGCTCTTTGCCTCTAAGCGGATGCAGGCGAGATGCGCAGGGGCTCTAAGGCAGGCAAACCAGTCTAGGACAGAGGGCAGCTCCCTCTAAAAAGTGTACCGACTAACACAAACGTGTTTAGCGTTTTATTGTACAGTTTTCAAAATATTTTCATAATTATGTATTACGTATGCACGCATAGCATTATACATATTTGAGACAAAGATAACGTTGCTTTTAAAAACGTGTTTACATCTTTACAAACATTACTCATCCTCATGTAGCGTTCTCAAACCAAAAACAAATAAAGCACGGCGTATGGCGCCTTGCAATAAACTGAGGGGCAAAATAATCTATACCTCTCAGTTGATTTTATCATATATTGTATTTTCAGTTGCAAATATCTTAAGTCAGCGATATTATGTTTTAAAAAATAACTGTACTCAGATAATTCACATAATACACAACTGCTGATGTGTACCTTAGCAATTTTTTTCAATGTTCAAATATATAAAAAAAACATACTCGGGGTATTTTCTTTTCTCCCTCGGTTTATTGATGACAAAACATATGTGAAAAAGGTTATGTAAGGGTAGCTTGAATGAAGGCAAAAAGTGTGAATGTGGGATAGTGAGTTATTCGAAGAGGGATTTGTGAATTCTAGGATATACAAATAGTTTGTTGATAGTTCTTTATGCACTTGCATAAATATGTGATTTGCAGGGAAACCAATCATGTCCTAAAGTCCCTGGTGGATTGTAGGAGACTTACATCAACCATATCTTGGAGAATAATATATCTACAAATTGAATGATATATGAATAAAACAATCCTGGTACAGATATGAAGCAACTATTTGTACATAATCTCGACATGGGTACAATGTGCGAAGTCCATTTCAGGTGTCCCCCGACATGATGTTGCTAGAATATTGCCCAAAACGGCGTAAAACCGTTCTGGTTGGTCTAAGAAAGATAACGCGGAAATATCGGTGCCGTCATAATTGCTTGGTACAAATAGATACAAGTAGACATTGATGCAGTAAAGCAAATGTTTCCCTCCGAATAATGTCAAATGCAAATATAGTACGCATAGCAATGGGACGAGAGGAATAGTGTTAAGTACTAAAATCTATTGGTATTAGAATTTTTGTTGTGTGATAGTTTGATACGGTTTTTACAATTCAATTTGGCGATCAAGGTTTGTGGTGTGATTACTTCCGGTTTACATTTAAAGTATGTTTAGAAGAATGTTGACTATGTTCTTCCCACCATTGTGAATATATCATGCAAACATTTTTAAAGGAAAATATTACACCAATTTAGTGAACGAATTGCAAAATTACAGACAAATCTGTTGATTATATGAATATATTAAGTAAACTAAATTACCGTAAAGCACCACATACAATGGTAAGAATCATACATTACATACAACGAACTACTGAAGAAGAAAACGAAAACGAAGCAGCTTTATTTTCAGAAAATGTTTTGTTCATAGGACGGAAATATAAGGAAGGTAATGTGAAAATACAAAAAAAATATCAGAATGGTTTGAATTAGTGACATTTTCATTAAAATGCAGCCTTCTGTTTCATAGTAAATGTGACACGTGCCCAAAAGGACTAAGTCATGTTGAGCGGTATCAATTACTGGACATTGTGACTAGTAAAGAGGTATTGAGGATTTATGTTAATAAGCTGGCACCAAGACATTAACAATGCAAGTACACGTGTGACAGTACAATACAGTACTCATCTTTGCATACTGATCTGGCACCTTACATATGATTATCATGATTATGAGAAATAAGATATACTGATAAAAAAGGTCCAAAATATTTTGGCATAAGATATTATCCCTCATCACAATGGTTTTCTAGGGGCTGTTAGAACAGCGGAGGTTTCATTCGCTCCCTCTATGATAAGGAGCATGGACGGCATAAAATTATGATGAAACGCTTAAAAACCTTGTAACGGAAATGAAGCAAAAAACAACAGTTACCAGTAAACTAAATATGTAAGGTATGAACGTGGTCATGTATTCTATATGTGACAACAAACTTTTTTAACAATATGGAAACATGAAAAAACGTGAAACAATACTGTGCTGAACTTTGCACGCTGAGGAATCACCACACATAGATAACAATTTGTTTTTATATAATACCAAAAAATATGGAAAATGTATGTACTTATTTGGCATCATCTGTTTCCCTGTTCGAACTAAATGCAATTTTGAAACATTATTTCACAAAGTCATACTTTATAGAAGCCTGGTATTTATTCTTCTTGAACAATCTGTTGCAACAGCTGCCTGACGGGGAGTAGAGGACTGAGTGACAGGCTTGAATTCCAACCTGACATGTGTCTTCCTGGCTGCCTAAATAACATACGCCGAATTTCAAAGCTAGTGCTCAATGGAGCTTTTCGGGTAAACTCCCGGAGATAAGCACTCACTGCCATTCAAAGACTTAAACACATTTGTTTTGGTGAGGCAAGGAAAGCCGCATATAGCCCGTACATGTGTTTCTTGAAAACACCATGAGAAAAATCAGCATCTATATGTTAAAATAGTTTTTGAAGTTTCGTTTAGTTTTCTAAGAAGGTAGAAGAAAAACAAGTCTGAGTATGTCAGATTATTTGAGAAAACAAAAACGAGTTCCAAGAGGTTTGAGTAAATGACTTGCAAATAGAAAGTGGAGCTCTCGTGTGCTCTCTTTTCCGTTCAGAGCATCTTTGTTTGGAAGAAAATTGTTCAACAGAATCCTTCACATTGTAGGGGGCACGGATGGCCAAGTCGTCTAAGGCGCCGCGATTCGCTGTGCAGAGTTGCGTCCCTTGGGCACGCCAGAAACCTATGTTTGTGGGTTCGAATCCCGGTTCGCCCCGATAATGTTTCTAGGTTTGTCAGCACCATACCCGTGCTCGTGGGTTTCAGGGAAGTGGTAAACGTCTGAGACCTGCATCACTTCGGGCTTTCCTCCCACATTAAGCTGACACGCCGTGATATAACTGGAATACTGTTAAAAGCGGCGTAAAACCCAACTCACTCACTCACTCACCTTCACATTGTAGTTTTTAAGAGGAGTATGGAAAGAGAATAATCTGTCCCAAATTCAAGGGAGGTAATAAAGTTGAACCAGATAATTACAGGGGAATGACACTTTATGTAAGGTATTGACTTCATTCTGGACAGACGCCTCCAGTCCTGGTGTGACAATATCAATATCTTAAGTGAACCACAAGCAGGTTTTAGACCAGCTTATTCCACCACAGACCAAATATTTACTCCATGCATCTGTATAGTTTTACACAATCTCATTAAAATCAGATCTTAGTTCTCGCTACCGCTAAACAAAGATCTGAGGACATCCCATTAGGGGTCACGTCAGAACGACCTTTCATCCGACCAATCAGAGCGTCGCTTACCAGATCATGAAAGTGAAAGTCGGAATGTGATTTCTAATTATGCAGCCTCGAAAACTTTAAAACGGGGTATTCCGAACGATAGTTACTTGCTTAACGACTGAATCTATACAATATAGACCATATATTAGCCATTCGAGAATGTTCTTTTGTTCAGGTTTTTAAATTTTTAAGCGAGGATTTGTCAAAATATGTTTCGATGCGTAGTCGCCAATTTGCAGTAAGGGCCGTAAAGCACGAGAAAGCTGCCTTCTGATTGGCTAATGTCGACTAATGTCGGCTAGTGTCGTCATTGATTCCATTGGTCGGTCAGAGTTCGCGAAAGGTCGGTCTCACGTGACCCGTAATTGGATGTCTTCAGATCTTTATTTAGCGGCAGCGAGAACTGAGATCTGATTTCAATGAGATTGAGTTTTACATATCAGAGACCAAGGGTAGATTTTACTGCATCTTTATTGACTTTTCGTAGTTTTAGACAGAGTAAACCACACCATTCTTTTAAAATGAAGTGGGAATAAATTGGAACTTTCTACGATTACTAGCATCGGGGTACTCTAACTTATCATTAAGTGTTCTAATGAAGGATGGTCTTTCTTATTATTTCACGTTTAATGTCGGCACTCGTCAGGGATGTGTTTTGAGCCCAAAACTTTTTATTATCTTTTTAAATGAACTCACAGTGATGCTGGAATAAAATGGTGGTCAAGGCATATTTATTAGTAGTGCGATACCACGTCTATTTGCATTATTATACTCAGACGATGAGCCGTCTGTTGCGGACAGTACTTTACAGCTACAAAAAACATTAAATGTTCTTGAACATTTCTGTGTATCCGCTGGAATGGAAGTAAATTTAAATAAAATATTG